GACAATAAACTGTACATATGAAAGTAGAAAGTTAACTAATCTCACAGAGAACTGCAATAGTAGTTGATTAGCTGGATTAGAAGATGTTTAATATCCCTTCTAAATCCATGATGTTAATACATTATGCTCATAATAGTTGCAATGGACAAATTAATTCCATATAAGGATGTAAGAATCTAATTAGCATGTCATATAATGACCATTTACAGGTATTAACATGACTGGTTATAAATGCTAAAGAGTTTTGTATTAGTTGAACTTATTGAATTAGTTGTTAATTAAAATATTTCTGAAGGCAGCAGACTTTAACTCATGGCAGTAGACTCATGAATAGAAGATGTAGTTCCAGATCTGTGAAACAACTGAGAAAATGAAAGAATTCTAGTTTGGCTGAAATGATTAAGGGTAGGCAGTGATCCTGGGACAGGTCAAACCACATCACCGGCCACATGAGCTGGAAGCTGATGATTGGATACCTAGGTGATTGCACAAGGGCAGAGTACACACCCCAGGGGGCCCATACAGGGGGGATTAAGCAAAGACAGTGCAGAGGGCTGGACTGCAGCAAAATGGCTCCAAAGGGGAGCCATGGTCAGGAGCTGGGGAGCAGATCAAAAGAGGAGCCAGCCTGAACCCTGTCAGGGAGGGCCCTGGTCATAGCTGCAAGTGTCATTACCACTGTCTTGCCTGCAACGGGAATTGGGGTTGTACCTTATGCAAATTGGGAAGGCTCTTGACACAGAGTTGGGCAGACTCATCACAGTTGGTAGAAATCCTCCAAACCAAGCTTCAGAGCCCATGGGAAGGCTTTGACGTCAACCCACAACTTTTGGGTTCACATAATTTTGAAAGAAGCCTTCCAAATCATTTTTCTGCCTGCAACATGTATCTGAAACATTTTCTTACTTGGCAGCACTACCTCAATTCCCTCTGCGCAGAGGAACTGTTGAGGAGGCTGGAATGTGTGTGAAGGAGTAGAAGTCTCAGACAGATGAAAGCACGGTGAGCCTTTCCTGGCTTCTATAAAAGCACTCTTTTACAGAAAAAGCACACATAGCTTTCTGCCATGTGTTAACCGGATTCCATTGAGCACTGATCTGGTATCATTTATAAAAAGACTGGAACAGTTTAAATAGCCAAAGTTTTATTTAGAGATCAAATTTCAAAATTTTGACTGTATTTAGTGTTTACATTGAGAATCAATGCCACAGAAAAGGCAAGACGTATACAGTTAGCCTGGAGGATGATCAGAAAGCAGAGGCCAGAGAATCTGCATTGCAAAGGAAGAGTTGTCAAGCCATACATGGGTCCAGATGCTTCGTGGCTTTAAGATGGAGTTCTCAGCAATGGGTTCCTCCTAAGAGGATCTCTGGCTGTTATTGATTAATTAAGGACTCTCAGCTCTGTTCTTGTTCTAGAACATCCAGATCTCAATCATTTTAGCCATTCCATAGTCATAGTTCCAGTTAGACATTCCAGGATCACATACATTAATAGGACTCGGATGATTTTCAGACTGTTCTTCCAAAATTTTCTCCCTATCCATTTTCCCTAGAACCTTTGCTGGTCTATACTTTTTCCCTCCCTGTCCCTCATGTGTGATAGTGAAATTATAGCCACAGAGTGGCTCTATATGATTTGCTATATGACCTGGGTTATTGCTTCACTTCTGTGGGTCTTAGTTTTCTTTTCCATAAAATAAGGTACCTCCAAAAGTTGCTGTAGAGACAAATTAGAAGCATAAAATGTGAATAGCTAATGGTATTCCACGCCATTAGCACCTCTCTGATTTTTTTTCCCTTTGTCTTCTTTTTTTGCTCTCTGTGGTTCCTATTATTCATCTGTTTATTTCATGCCTGCAATAGTGAGTAAAAATTGCCCATGATTACCCAATGAGGATAGAGGGAAAGTAGGTGAAAAGTAGAAACTAGCACACCCATTTCCTTCACATTTAAGAAAGGCAGCATCTTTAGAACATACACTTATGTTTTGGGCTCTCTTTACCTCTCTTCCTTAGGATCTCACTCACTTACCAGTGAAGAGGGACAGTTGTCTCAGTGAAATGCAGAGAGGATAGATCTAGAGAGATAATCCAGTAGCTTCTTATGTCTAACAAAACTGTCCATACTGGTGGTAATTCTTTCCCTGGGACTGAATGATTCAAAAAATTGCTATAAAGTACAGATTTTATAGCAATGCCAAAAAACAAGGTATTAATGACACACTGAGAAAATAATATTACGTATATCCTTTAAGTATACTACTTTGGAAATATAAAATGACAAAAGCACAGTAAAAAGTTGTATGGATTTTTAGATAATACTTGAACCAAGAAATAAGACTTTAGGGACCTTTTATATGACCTACTAGGACAGGGTTCTTAATACATAACCTTTCCTAGATTTTCTTATTCTAAGTTACTTTTTTGTACAATCAAGGGAAAAATTCTTTTTTCTCTTAATTTAAGTTTAATTTTTGTTCTTCATTGTCAATCTATAAAATATTGTTTCATTTACATCTGCTTACACATCAAAGAATACATATGGTCTTGATATATGTATTCAAAGCAAGACACCCTAGGACTTTCAACACATTTATTATTATGCAAATGAGGGGCAGTGCTCTCCCCCACCACCACCACCATAACCTGGCCATAATACAATGTGGGTGAGTGGGTGCTTCTCAGGAAGAATCATTCTATTCATTTTTAAAATGCAGCCAAGAAAGCAATGAATTGCAAAATTGGCATTAGGAATGGCCAGTCTTTAAGTGTTATTCATAGCTATAAAATGACTACACATCATTTCCTGCCTTTTACTGTCCTTTATTTCGAAAGTGTTCAAATTCCCAATTCCAAATTCCATGCCCTTCTCTTCTTTCTCCACCCTCTTTCATTCTCCCCTAGTGAAAAAGGGACAATTTTGCCAAATGTCTATCTTTAACAAAAGTTTCATGGCCAGGATGACCCTAATGATGGGTTATCAAGCCAGAAGTCTGTGCGCAAAGTGACTGACAATAGCATCTCAAGAGATAGTGGCCAGCACTGATTCTGTGAGCTTGGCTAACTGACCTTCCAGACATCCAATATTGCAACATGGTGCTCAACATATATGTGAATGGTGCTTACCATTCACATATATGCTTTTGGCATGTGAGTTACTACATCTTAAATCTCTCTTTCTACAAAGGATTCTGGTAAACAAAAATCTTCCATTAAATTCTAAATAAGAATGGAGAGTACACACACAGTATGGTCAAGTAGGCTTTTCCTTTCCTGCTCTACCATGATGCTAACCTGAAAACTAATACTTGCCAATATTTATATCATCATCAGAAGAGAGTCACATGCCATGATTGTGTATGTTCTAGAATCAGGCCAGCAAAAATTCCCCCAGGGAAAAGTATTAAGGCTGACCACCATTAGAGAGCAGGAGGAACAAGAATTGAGATTCTAATTGAAGTACTGTTAAACTTTTGAGAGTTTCTCATTATCAAAACTATAAAACCTGATGAGGCTGCATTTCAGTTTGACTCAGTTAAAAGTAAAAGCAACCTGGCCAAATGCTTTTTATCAAAGAACTTTATTCATTTAGCTCCAGGCTCAGAATTTGATAACATATTTTCTGTTAACTTTCTTCTCTTCACATGAAACGATTTGAAAGAGCAAAAACAGGGGAGGAAATTCTAATTACTTTTATTTGGATACTTGCATATGGCCGAATTGAATTACTAGCAGTTTCCTTAAACACACACTGGTTTCCAGTCTAGCCTACAGGTGGACATAGATTACTCAGCCTCTGCGTTAAAATCCGCTATTTAAAAAAAAAAAAAAAAAAAAAAAAAGGACTATCCAAATTCCTCCTCTTTCTGGCTAGGCATTATCATCCCAGTAGGAAATAATATTGCCTAGCTAGCATTATGTTTGTGTCTTTTTAAAGCACCTATCCCTCGTGGCATTGTATTCTAAGTTTCTGCATAACTTCTCTGTTCGTGACAGTACCTTTGCAAGTATCTTTGCATCTTGTGCAATATTCTCAGCAGTGTCTTAGGTGTGGTAGAAACTTCGTAAGTATTTTGCTTCTTGGTGATTAAAAATCAGGGAAGTAGCAAAATTAAAGGGGAATCAATGATGCTAAATGGAATGGATTATTAAGAAATAATCCTTTAGCCGGGAACGTAGCTCAGTGGTGCCGCACCTGCCTGGCAAGTGCAAGGTCCTGAGTTTTATCCCCCGTACCCAACAAAACAAAACAAAAATTAGCCTTGAGAGTTTTAAGTCTTACCATTTAGGTTGTATCACATGAGAGGCAGGAGTCTATAGTGTATTTAGTCCTGATATTAAAGCAGTAGTAAAAAAAAGTTTATTTTCTACTGGAAAAGCATTATTTAACTCATTTCTTTGTAATAAATGATGGCAGTTTATACTCCACTGTTTATGCTTATTTGAAGTATTTTCTTATTTAAGACATTTATTAAATCTTTTTTACCTAGCCACAGCTGCCTTACCAGAAAGCAAAGCAGCTTTCTCAAACTTTCAAGGCCTGAAAGATTTCCAATGCCCAGGGCTTGTTCGGCTCCACGGTCTTTTCTCTTCTCTTTCTCCTTGTCTTTTAACTCTTTTAGTGAGTGCTGCTTTTTGGTGCTTCGTCAGCTCTGAGGCATGTCAAAAGCTTGTATTTGCTTTTAGAGCTATGTGGGGGATCCAAGCTGCTTGAACTGCGTCTCTGTCAGGCTTGTGAACATTCCCAGTTTTCTCTCATCCTTTGATTGGCTCCCTGAGGTCATGTGAGAGCCCGGGGGTTGGAATTCTGAGTTGTGGCTTCTGGCACTCCTTTTCTTTTAAAAAGTAGCTCGGTGTGCTGAGCTCTCCTGGGCTTAGTGCCTTTGAGAGTGGAAGCAGTCGCAAGCAGCCCCTGGCGGACTGGGGTGGCAATAGAAACTCTGCCGTGATGTTCAGGCAGATGCCCAGGACCCCAGCTTCAAGCTGCTACTATCTAAATTCCATGACAACTGAGGGCCAGGAGATGTACTTGCGGTTTGATCAGACTACAAGACGCTCTCCTTACAGGATGAGCCGGATTCTAGCACGCCATCAGCTAGTGACTAAAATTCAACAAGGTGAGTTGCTGGCAGTGGGAGGCTGTTGCTAATTATGATTTGTATTGGCTCTGTTTCATGCTAACCCAGTTTTTAAAGTTATTGTTCTCAATGTACAATATGTGGATTTCTTTGCCATGCTGTGTGTAACTTTTAAAAATAACTTTAGGATGCAGTTTTAAGCAAATTGTGACAGAACTTGGCTGCCACATAACTCAACATAAAATGCATAAAAAAACTTAATGGTAGAACATTGAATCATAAATTCCAAAGCTTATATGTGTCTACAAAACAAATGAGAAAAGTTCACTTGGTACGTATTTTGGAGGTTTTTGCAGGTAGACAGTCGGTCACATTTAAAACATTGATACTTGTTTATTTAATTAGGGAAAGGTCACAGAACTAATGTCCACTCTGTTCAGAATTTTTAGAATATCCTCAAAGAAGAGACAGTAAGACTTCTATTGTTAAGGCCACTGGTTTGACAACTAAAAATCACATTCTTTTCCTGTTTGTGTGTTTAGGTCAGTAGTTGCCACTGATTCGTGTATATTGTTTTTCTTGTAAAGAACAAGTATGTCTGTTCACCTCAAAACAAATCTTGTTGCCTACATGCAAAAACACTAGCTTGTTATGAAAAAAAAGGAGAAAATATTGACTACAAGCAGCTAGATGAGCTTTAACAGCTTGGAAGCCTGGACATTACAAAAACTACTCTCCAAAGAAATCTTAAAACATGGTTCTTTTAGAATAGGTCTATAGAATGTGAAAGACAAATATTCTTATGTAGCTGCTAACTAGTGACCATTTAAAAGTCAGCCTCTCTCAGTCTCTCTCTCTCACAAACTCAGTTAATAACCACCTCTTCCCTGCACTAAAATTATAACTAAATTATTATATTAGTGCTACATGAATTTACCAGGAATTTCTAGAGCCATTATAAAGATGCAGTTTCCACTTGAAAAAAAGAGCTTAAGATTATATTGAATTTCAGAGGGGAAGTTGAAGTTTGTAATCACAAAAATCTTATTGTAATGTTTCCAAAAGGAACAATATGTATTCTAGTGAGCAGCATTTGATGAGATTATTTCCTTGGAAATTGGGATTTGTTTGTAAGGGTTCAGGAACTGGTTATGTGTGAAGGATACTGGTCCTACATACCGGCCTGATTTCAGGAAGGATATTATGTCATTCCATAAACTCGGTGTGCAGGTCTTGATTGAATAGAAACAAAAGTATTTCCCTGTGGCTTGATTTAAAAATACATTAGGCTTAGAATAAAAAATCAGCTTCATTTAAGTTTTCACAACTTTCTTTCAATGGTTCTTTATGAGATGCCATAATCATTATAAACATAGGGGCTTAAAACATTTGATGGTGATCTATCATTTACAGTCTAAATATTCCTTGGCATGCATATAAAGAGCATATGCAAAATATGACATCGTTGAAATTTTTTTGCAGACCTCCTTAAATGCATTTACAATAATTGACTTAATGAAAATATGTTTTTTTTAGGTGGGGATTATTTTTCTATCAATGATTTGAAATTCTAAACACATACATTATCATTAGTACACTCTCACACAGACATATGGACACTCTAAGCCTGTGTTTCATTTTGTCTAATTAGACAGTTTGACAGTTATTGGGTTTTCTGTATTAATAGATTGGATTGATATCATAGTGAAGAATATTGTTTAAGCACTGTAGTATATCAGGCCCTGCTGTGAGAGCTCACTATGAATTTTATTTTTCCCAAGAAAAAAATCCTTATGGTTTAATTCTATTATAAACCTCATTTTATAGATGAGAAGACAGAACCACAAAACGTTCAAATAACTTGAATACATAGTTAGAGCTGATATTTGAATATAGCTCTAAAGCCTTTGCTATACAACACACTAGCATTTTTACTTTTTATAATGAGCACTGAACAAGTACTGAACCTATGATTGAGTTTTGGATTATGCAATTTACCCAAGACCTTTTAGCCTTTTCTACTCAAGAGACAACAATGAATCATAATACAGAATCAGAATTGGTCACTCATTATGAGATTTCCACTTAGGTTTTATTTCTCCAGTGGGAGCAAAGTACTATGTATTTTTGTCTCCTTGAATAGTTAGTACTCAATAGGGCAAGATGCCAAATTATTTTGCCAACAACATTCAACCTTTTGATTAAAGTTTATCAAGTGCATATTAAATTAATAACGTTATTTTTGTAGTTCACATATTAGTATCTTGAAATGACATCCACCTCAGTAAAATTGCTTGCTTGGCTCTTTTAGATCTATTAAAACCATTGTTTTAATATAATTCTGGGCATCATTACTTATACTTTCTCATGGCTGGTGGGAACAATGCAAACCAGAGTAAGTTGCTCCATGCTGACCTCATTATAATGAGATAATCATTGAATGGAGTGTACATGATTCAACAGTAGACACACTTATGAGGAAGAAAAACAAGGAGGAGAAATGAAGGAATCTTTGATGATACATAGGATCAAAATTAGTTACTCAAACCCAGGATGAATCCAAACTTGCTGAATTTGGGGTATCCTCTAAAATATACAGGCATCATTTTTCTAGCCTTGTCGTTGTTATTATTCAGAAGTTGTAAATCCAATTACAAGAAAATGTTTAAGGAATAATGTTATTATTACAGAATGAAAGTTAATCAGAAGTCATACTGCCCTTAATCCCTACCCCCACATGCTTTCTTGATTCAATAGGGAAATTGTTGTAGAGAGAAAGAATGGAAATAATAATGGTCCTTATTTCCCTCAGTGACAGGCACTTGGAAATAAATAGGAGGGAGGATTCTTATGGGTTGGTGGGGGAAGAGCATGTTAGGTCACAGCAAGAAAGAATTATATTTTTCAAATTTTTAAAATTATGGTAAGTATGCACACCATTAAATGTATTATCTTAACTACCTTTAAGTGTACAGTTTAATAGTATTAAATACACTCATGATCATAATGTTTTGCAGCCATCCATATCATCTCCATAGCTCTTCATTTTGAAAAACTGAAACTCCAAATCTAACACACACTAACTCCATATTCCTCCTTCCTCCCAGCCCCTGGTAACCACCATTCTGTTTTCTGTCTCAGAGACTTTTCTGGCTCTGATTCTTCTATATACCTCATATAAGTGGATTCATACAGTAAAGTTGCATCTTTTTGTGACTGTCTTATTTCACTTAGCATAATGTCTTTGAAGTTTACCCATATTATATTTTCTATTGTCTAATCTAAATGATCTTTTTTAATAACAAAACATTTATTGGCACATTTTATACATACATAATGATAACACTCATCATAGGGAATTTGCATCTGTAGTATTTTGACCAGATTTATTTCCCTTTTTTTTTTCATTACTGGGGATTGAACTCAGGACCTTGCACTTGCCAGGCAGACATGGTGCCACTGAGCTACATCCCTGGCCCTCGGATTTATTTCCTTTTTAAGGCCATAAAATACTCTTTTGTATGTCTATACCGCATTTCTTTTTTTTTTTTTTTTGACAATATCTGTTGTAATGGATGTGAGGTGGGAGAATTGGATTTTTCTATTGTTATTTGAAAGTTATGTTGTATTGAGTATAGGGGCAACCATGTTAAATGTCTACATAGATACAGACACACACATACACTCATACATGTGCTATTTAGAAAACCCAAATCGAAGTACATGCATAAATGTAATTACTTTAGTTGGGAAGGAACTTGTCATATTATTAACCTTTTATTTTAATAAAAATTGTCTTGACAAGAAGTTTTTACCTTGATGAGAAACCAAAGCAGATGAACATGATTGTTGAGGTTTTCTCTGGTTCTTGTGTCCTGGAGTTCTCTCTGTAGTTAAGTCATTAATTCCTCAAACATGAACGTAGTAAGCAGGGAAACTTAAACCTAACTTAATAGAACCTATGAAAGAAACAGATCAGCTTCATTACATAGAATTAAGTAATGACTTCTAAACTTTCTGGTATTTGCCAAAGACATGGTAAAGTGCAATTTAGGTTTACTCCCTCTATTGATATATTGTGAGATTTATGGAAAGTTACAACTTCTCTGGAATTTCTTTTGTAAAAGAAAGCATTGAATTAAGCCATCTCTAGAAACTCAGTCTTGTTTGCAATTCTAGAATTCTTTGATCACAGGTATTATCTTAAGAGAAGATAATTTTTATTTATATTTTCCTTATTATATCATTCATCATTTATCTGGACATGCTTCTTTAATACTGGTGTAATGCTCTCATTATATTTAAATGATGTAGCAACTGAGTTTAACTTAACTAGAGTGTAATATGTGGGCTTTTTTATGTCCCTAGTGCAAATGGGTATGAGTGACATATTCTCCCTCATTACTCTGTCAAATGGCATCTTGGGAATTTGCCCAACCTAAGTGAACATTGTCCATCCACAACAAATGAGACCCCCACCAACTGGTAATGTCAGACTAAATTAAGCTATCATTTGTTCTTCTGGAATTGTCCTTTCTCTATGTTTAGTACTGTATTTTCTAACCCAGCTATTTTCAAAAGAGGGGAAATACACTGGCAGAAAACACAGATGTAACACAGAAAAGTGATTAAGAATGCATCAATCGTGTATTGCTCAAGTTCTTTTAAAAAAGTGGCAACTGTTATAGATTTACATTTTATGAATCAGTCTCTTGATTCAGTGCTGGTGACTGAAAGGCCATACAGAAAAGACACTGTTTAACCAAAGTTACAGGAAAATAGGTTAAGTGAATTAAGTCAAGGAACTTTGAATAATGTGGTCTTAAAAGTTTGTACATAGTAAAACTATGAGCAGTTAAGAAATGAGTCTTAGAAATAAGCAGAAAAAGAATATGCTTATAAACATTAAAAACTTGGGAGTGTTATATAAGAAATAATCATGAGACTCACTGTTGAATTCACAATAGTGATTGATAGAAACACCATCCACTATAGATTGTAGTGCCCTCTTTATAAGATTTATATGAAAAATTGCTCTT